AGGTATGGTTTTGTAAGCCTGAATTTATGAACTCCATGAAATTGAAAAACCTATAACTGGGGATGAGCAAACTTGCAAACCAAATATAGGTTTAGTTTCTCAACCCCAAGTCATGCAAGCCTAACTCGGGAGCAAAACATTTATTTAGTGTGCATTTCCATCTACTACTGCTATATCATTAGCATACATAGCTCATGTGCCAGGTGAGGAAATTTCGAATAAACAATAAAATTACCTTGAAAACCAACAATAGCTTGTCTTCCCCTTGTATAATCAAAGACAAGCTCCAGTCACAAGTAACTGGAGTCACGCATTCAAGGAGAACTGGTTTTAGAAGTTTATCGACAGGCACAAACCGACAGATGACTTTTCCACTACAATAAGAAACAAAGAAACAGTAACTAACTAGGAGAATCTGTAAAAGAAATACACGAGGCATGGCCGTGTGCATGTGTTTTTAATGGCAAATGAACTGCTGATGCATCTATTAGATTCAGCAACGTGAAGCCAGGTTTAAGATGGTCCCAATAACTTCTTTTATATTTTTTAAATGAAGAACTAAAGCTAACTAACCTAGAAGGATTACCAAATCCAAAAAACAAACTTCAGCGTCCAATGTTATATATGATGCCTTGAAAAAGAAAGTTCTTGCCAATGAAACAACTTACTGAAGGAAAAAGTTACCTCCTATAGTGAGTTTCAAGTTGGACTCCAAAATTTGGCATAACCATAACAGACTCTGCACATTTAGACGTCCCCTTCCATCAAAAGGATATGATAACATTATAAAGAATTAGACAGAGAACCTTCTCCAATTCCTCACCTTTTTCAACCGTTTCCCTGAACAACTTCTTGGCAAAGAATACATTCAAGACCAAGCACCAAAAGACGACAAAGATTGATTGGTCCTGTTAAACCCAGAGTCAATGGTCATGCTCTGAAAATAACTTTAACAGATTTCTCAAGTGTGCTGTTCGAATATCAAAAGTAATCCTATCTATTGATACTCTCACTATGGTTTATGTAAATATTTCTGTGAAACTAAGAAAGAGAGATGTGCCTAAAGCGGCATTGAGCTCAAATAAACATCTTAAAAGGGAACATTTAGGCATTTCAGTTCAATCAGTTTCAACAAACTTTGATAGAATATACCTGTAAATGAACTGATATTCTAAGGCCATGAAATTGAGCAGTACATTACATTTTACAAACATACCGAGACTAAAATAACAGTAACAATAAGATCAAATACAAAAATAAAGACAGCAGAGTCAAACTAGTAAGAATTAGAATGATTTCATATTCAAATTTCAAAATTCACATAAAAAATTGAGTGAGAATGAGATCAGCAACAAATTACCTTGAGTAGCAAAAAACAGAACGCAAGGGCAGCAAAAATACACAAGAGGAAACCCTTTCCACCACCCTTACTCCTAAGAACAACGTGGTGGATATCAACTGCTTCAGAAGGCCATTTACTGTCGCGGAAGTATCCGTATCTCCAATTCGTAATGGAAAACTCGGCCATTTTGGCATTCTCCAACGTGTGCCCTTAAATTTTCTCAGATAATCAGCATTACTCTGGGAGAAGTTTCGGATCAGCAGTACCTGAAGGATTTAATAAGTATAACCTACAAACAATCTTCCACAGTGCAGTGTAACAATTGGCGTTTCAGAATTGATCGCCATTTGAGCTTCAATATACGATCGTCTGACCTCGAGAAGATTGAGTCGCATTTCACCGCAATAGTGACGGCTCGGCCTCCACCTTCGCCTCCGCCGCTGGCCTTATGAGAAAGCCCTCTTCGTCATCGGAGCCGATACGGCAGGCCCAGTTCCAAGCCCACCCAACTTCATCGCACTCTTTGGGCTTTAGAACACATCAGCCCGTACTCCAGCTCTCTCTCTTTCATAACGATTGGGGGATTGAACTTACAACCTCTTGGTTGGAGATATATATCAATTATCAGTCAGTTATGCTCCCTTTAGTCTTGGTTGGTCTATTAGGTAAGTGTTTTTATTGGGACAACTAGAGGAACAATTATATTAAATAGAGAGTTTTAGTTCAACGCTAGAATTTAATGTGGACACATATGCTCTCCCACCAAAATAGCTAAAGTTATACTACTATTACCCCTAAAATTTTGTGGTAAAAATGTCCTTGAAACAATTCTTTGTTACCACTTGATCTCATGAAATAAAACAGTGAATCAAAATTTTAAAGTTCAAACTTTCAAAAATAAAGTCTGTTAAATGAATACTTTGATATAGAAGAATATGAAAATTGTCCAACAAAATGTAAACCCAATGTAGAAAAGTGGAAAATGAGTAGAAAAATAGGATTGAAAAAATAAAATATTGTTTTTAAAACTATGGAGGGGTAGCTACATTGGAGACACAATAATTGATACCGTGGCAACCTTCAAACTCACGAGCCGTTTTCTTCTTCCCCAAAAAACGTAATCGATCCTTGGTACTGGATTTTATTTTCTATAGATATGCTGCCGACAGAAAATACTAGAAGGCAGTGTTTCTATCCATATATTGATGCTGTCAAACTCGTAAAGAAAAATTTAAACCTCCCATCACCATCAACCTCGTGGTTTGTGTACGTCCCTACAGACATATATATGGTAAATATGCATGTAGACAGAATAAAGAAAGAGTAAGTACAAACACACACGATACATGGATTTTTCTCGATCAGCTTGGCTGCAAAAGACAGGATGAGAGCATACGACTGTTCGGGTGACCTCTTAATGAGGTTAAAGCTTTCTCCCTTCCTCTCCAAACCTTGTCATTAGGGGTGTTCACGGGTTGGGTTGGGTCGGACTAGGAGTATTTTTGGGATCAACCAGAATTTTCAGGTTGGCCATATATGAGAACCAACGGGTCCAAAATCGATGGCCAACCCAACCCAACCCAAAATTTTCGGGTTGGGTTGTCGGGTTGTTATTTTTTTTCCATATATTTTTCTAACCTCAAAGGTACAAAACGGCTCACGTAGAAGAATCAAAACCTCATTCACCGGGGCTCCTTTCGTGATAATTGATAACTCTCCAAATAGAGAGTTATTTGGGTATAATGTTGGATAAATTAGCTAAAGATAGCATCACTTGCACCCTTATTCACTGAGTTTGTGCTAAAAAGATCACAAATACTAGCTTTCTACATTGTAGTATTGTCAATTGCAATTTAGCTAATTTAGGTGCATTTTGCTACAGTTTTGACAATGCTACAACATCAGATCCAGATTCAGAAAGCAGCAGAAAACTACAAACTGACAGTGAAATGACTGCTCAATGAGATTTACCACGGTAACTCAGAGAAATATCTRGAATTTAGGGTTGGGGCCCACTTTATCCTTTGTGTTGCCCTAAAATTAAGGATGGGTATAAAAGTCCCCTTTTAAGGCAGCCTCTAGAAGAATTCTTCCCCACTCCATTTTGGAATCATCCATCCCACTCTCTAAGAAAACCTCTCCAGTTGCTCGTGGAAGAGGAAGAAGAAGCCTAGAAATCTGCTGCTGAAACAAAGAACAAGAGGATTTCGCTTTGAGCTGAAACCTTCAGTTCATTCTCTTCATCTTTGAATCTCTTTATTTTATTTTCATTCTAGTTTTTATTTGATTTTCTTGTATGGCTTTGCGTAGCTAATCTAATTTGTGAGGGGGAGGTTGTTGTGAACCCTTGTGGCTGATAGACTTTGTTACTGTTTTTAAATGATGAAGAACATTGAGTTGAAGTTGTTTTATAAATTTATTTTCAATATGCTTGATCACCATGTTGGAATATTTTCTTGTTATCTTTTGGAAAATCGTAATAGGAAGCGAAATACTTCATCTCGAGCTAGAGTCTACTTGAGTTTAGCATGTGGTGACTTAGGGATAAGAATCACCTAGCTTGGTCATGAAAACTGTGCATATATGCTGTTATTGTTTGTCTATGAATGTTAATAGTAGAAAATCTGGGAAGATTCCATGTCTGTTTGGCCAATGCTCTAGCATCGTTTATGTTGTAGCATCATCTGCTTAAGTCCACAAGAGTCACTTCTTACTCACTTTAATATTAGTATTTTAGTTCATATTTGCGCATTTTCCTCAGACATTTTGCTGTCATATGTCTTTAATTCATTTTAACAGTAGTTCATTGGTATATTGTTTGGGTTGATTTACTCTAGTTTTCCTATTTGTTATAAATATTTTGCTTGTTTAAAACCCCCCATCTTAAGTGATTATTGAAGTGTGTAACAATCAATCCCTGTGGGTACGAACTTTTTATTACTTGCTGCGCCATTGCCGGGGATTAATTTCGTTTTACACTTCATATTTTTGCTTAAGATAATCTGTGCTAGAAGGATTTCTTGATCTTAAGTACTGTTTGGTGGATTTTGAAGGTGGATGCACGATCTACAAGGGCGGCGATGACGATGGGCTGAGACGGTGACGTGAGCTCCAAAGGCGGGCGACGATGGGAGCTGCGAAGGACGATGGCGATGAGAAACTTGAGTGAGGGAAGAAAATGGAAGAGAGAAACTTGAGAGATATAAGAAAATAGAGGAAAGAAGCTCGAGAGAAGGAAGGAAATGGAGGAGAGAAGGCTTGAGAGAGGGAAGAAAATGGAGGAGAGAGGTTTGAGAGAAAGGAGGAGGGAAAGTGAGATTGACAAGATGAAAGATACTGTAACTTAAAATGAATGACTAGGATTAAAAGTAATAGAGGGTTGAGATTAAAGATAAAAAAAATATTATATATTTATAAATATTATTATATTATTTATAATTAAAAAATATATAATATGCATAAATTCGAGTTGGGTTGGGTTGAYCCGAATTTTTAAAGGTTGAACCCGAGGCCCAACCCAACCCAAACCTTCATCTAACGCAACCCAACCTTTATGGTTTGGGTTGGGTTCATCAGGTTCGTCGGGTTGTTGGGTTTTTTGAACACCCCTACTTGTCATAGCTAATATTGATTTCATGCTTCTTCCAAATGTAATCAATTATGTCACATGGACTACAATGTCTCTCGTCGTTCATGCTTAACATTATCTTCGCACATTCACTTATCGTTGTTGCTGTCGCTTGCCTATGGTCATTACGAACAGGATCAATCAAATAAGTGTGCTACGATATGAGTTGTCCAAGAATCAATAATTTACTGTTGTCGTATTAAGAGAAGCGAATATACCAGTTGCATGGTTCTTCGATGCACCTTACAACCAACTGTTTCTAGTTAGATTTGACGGTTTTAAACTGAAAACTTCCTTTTAATGCAATCGCAGAAAAAGCCTTCTTCAATTCTTCTTGTTTTAGAAAATATAAAATTATTCCAACAAGAAATTAGATGGAGCACAATTAAAATCAATAGGGTCCATGAAGATAAATTTCTTCCCCCCTGAGGTAAACTAGTGATGTTCGCACTTTTGCTGCCCTCGTAGATGGCATTTTATATACGAGGTCAGTATCCACAACTATGCAGCAGTCGCTATCCATTATATCCGACAAAAGCGATATGACCCACACCACATCCCTATCTACTGATTGAATTAGGCTTCGAAGTGCCTTAATCAATCAAAAAGCTATTGATTTAAACCATCTCATTTCATTTTGGCAAGAGACGTTCATTTGGTTCTTATCTTTTAATTATTGTTCATTCTAATCATTGTCTTCAAAATGTCCGTTTTGGTCCATGTACTTTTACAAAGTGACCAATTTAGTCCTTTTTTTTATAAAATTTTATACACAACGAAAACCATTTAATGCAAATACACTTCGATAAATTTCAAGAAATTTAGTGAATAAAATGACATACTAAAATTGTGATAGAAAGAAATTAAATAATAAAGACGAACATAAATGATCTCTTTTTAAAAGTACATGGACCAAAATAGATATTTTGAAAATATAGGGACTAAAATGAACAAAATAACCGAATGGACGTTTTGATAGTATAAAGACCAAAATAATATTTAAAAATCATTAATTAAAAATTTTCGGTTTCCTTTTTTATTTCTAAGTAACTTCTCTTTTTTTTTTTATTAATTAGAAGCTTGTTGTACTAAAATATAATTGGTAAAGTATTTTTAAAAAATCAGTTTTTT